TGAATTGAGATGGTGTGCTCATTCCGAAAAACATCCTGATGCGGAGGAACTAACTTAATTGAAGCTAGCGGACACAGAAATCCCATCCCCAGCAGCTGACATTGGTGGTAAAGGAAGGAAGGAATTTTTGACCACTTAACTCTCTTAACAGTAAAGAATGGCTAAGCATAGACTTCTATTTCCTCCTGTTTGCCTGTACATTGTTGCATCAAAACAGAGTTGACGGCTTGAATCAAAGTTGGGCAAGAAATTCACCTGTTTGGAAGACAGCTAGAAATTGGTCTTGTAGGCAAGGGTGAAGGGGTGGGATTTGGAGAGAGATGAGTACTACTTTTTTTTTTTTGGCAAGTATTGAAAATCATGTCATTTGGATATGGAAGAATGAAATGAAATGTTGCGTTTTGCCGAATTTCTTTAAACCTCGCATTTGTCAAAGCATTGCAGTTTACTCCTCTTTGTGAAAAGTGACAATATTTCGCGTACTCTAGCCACCCACCTTACTACTTTACTTCGTTTGACTGCAGGAAATGCCAATAAACGATTCATTTGTCTCCAAAGAGGAGGTGGAGAAGGCGTGCAATTGTCTTCATTGCACTTATCAAAGACCTGTTGTACAGGTCACCAAGGAGGAGCGTAACCGCCTTCCAGTTCCAAAATATGTCACCACTCTTCTCAATATGGCTCTCCTAGCTCTCGTACTCATCCTCATCTTCGGCACAGTGCTAGGTTTCTGTTTGAACAATAAGGACAAGGCAATGATCCTCTTCCTCACCCGCACCCGTAAACGCAAACGCGAATACGAAGAGGCGTTGGCCCGAGAAGCTGCTGAAAGAGCAGCCAAGGAAGCGGAGGAACAGAATCTGATAAATTGGAACCCCTTCCTCAATCGCTATGGCATGCTGGCTGGAAGTGGAGCAATGGGAGGCTTCGGACCCTTCTCAGCTCGTCTACCAATGGGAAACATGGACGGCACAAGTGGCGGTCAATTTGGTGGCTCGCAGCACTCCGCGTCCGCCAATCAGGAGGCTCAAAAAGGTGCTGGACGCAAACGGGGTGGACGTTGAAGTTACAAATGGTTCTTTCCTGTAGTTAAAACAAGAGGATGTGTTGCTGTTATTTTGTGGTGCTTAAGCCCTATCCTTTGCCAAGAACTTTTGTCAAAACGTAAAATTCTCCGTTCCTCTCGTATTCTTGTACCTTTAAAGCACACACCTTGAGAGTGTGATGCAAATGTTCTGAACAACTTCAAGAGTAAAAGAGGAATGAGTTTATGTGATGTTAAAGAAGTCCAAATGTTAGCTCAATTGTC